TATATAGATATATTAGGGTTTCTTTTTTTTTCGCATTTTCATTTCTACTCTTCTGCCGTTCCAATAATCCTCCGCAATATTTTCCTTTGCTCTCTCTATTATTTTTATCACTACTTTTACTTTCCTTTGCTATGTGTTTTTTCTAGGAATGGCAACGGGTCGAGTTCGGGGCGGGTTTTGCTCGCCCCGTCCCCGAATCTGAAATGAATTCCCGTCCCTGATTCCCGACGAGTTTTTTATCGGGGAGCCCCGTCGGGGATTTTTTTTGCCCCGTTCCCGAACCCGACCCAAAATATTATACCCGAATCTGAACCCGAAAATATTTTATATATAATTAATATAAAAAATATAAAATATTATATATATATATAATTAATATAAAATATATAAAATATTATATATATATATATAATCGGGGCGGGTCGGGGCGGAGATACCTTACCCCGAACCCGAACCCGACCCGATATCATTCAACCCGACCCAAACTTGACCGAATTTCGGATTTCGGGTCATATTGCCATCCCTAGTTTTTTCTCCTCTATCTTATCTTTTAGTTGTCATCTTCCTTTGTTCTTTTATTTCTTCTAATTCTTAACTATTTTTTTATTATTCATACTCATTTATTCATAATTAAAAAATTATCAAATATGTTAAAAGAGATTAATATTAGCCAATTAGGCCCATATCCACGATGAAATTGAAATAGCAAGCCTTTTAATTGAGCTATATTGGGCTAGGCTGGGATAGGTGACTCAAATCAAGTCCATGACTTTTTAGAAAAGATCTCCTTTAATGTTCAAGTTTAGAAATGTGGAACGATGTTTACTTATATTGGTTTTTGAGATAAGACAATTGATTTTTTTCAATAGAATGCGATTATTATAATGTAATATTTTTAATTATTAATAGTATATAAAATTTTACAGACATAATTACAAAATTAAATTTGTTATTAAAAATAATATTTATTTATTATTAAAATCGTTTGATAAATCATATTATTTTTTTAATCGGACAGATAGGCCACAACCCAATTTCATATGATTTTAAACTTAATTAAATAATTCTACAAATATATTTTATTTAAATTTAATTATAAAAATATTTAAATATCAATATAGATGTATAAGTTAAGATTCAATTCAAAATTAAAGATAATTACTTTTATTTTCTATTTTTAATTTTAATCTTTTATTCTCGTTTATTTAAAATTTTAAATATATATAAATTTCAAATTTTATAACTGATAACTCTAAAAATTCAAATTTTATTCTCGTTATATTTCTTCCAACACAAACTCCCTAGAAATGTTTAAAATAAATAAATGATTTTATATAATTTTAGTATCTTTTAAATAAATAAATAATTTATACGAGCCAAACGACTTTGACCGTTAAGAGAATTTTTATTTTCCTTAGAAATGCAAGATCTAAACACCGATAGATGTATAAGCATTTGCAGGATGACACCAAGATCAGGTCCACCTCCAACGAATATTTATATTCTCAGCAGCGAATATTTAAATGATAATTAACCATAATTGCATATTGTATTTGGTTTCTGGTTAATCGGGACAAGTGTTCAAGTAAATTGAAATTCGGTGGATCATTAAAATAATAAAAATATAAGAAAAATTATTTACGTAATCTAAATCGATTCTATTACGGAGCTTTACTCAGAGAAAGATGTCCTTTACACATTTCGTAACAAAGGCGTCAAGCTTAAATCTACGAACTCTCCCTGGTCTCTGGTTAAAGAAGCTATGAGTAACATTGTGCACTCCATACAAAAGCAAAGTACGACATATAACCTGGACGTCGTACTTCTGGTTCCCGACGCTGGTTTGAATCAGTAATGCCACCTTTCCTATCTTTCCCCATGGATTTTACCTTAATGACGTGGAACTGTCAGGGATGCGGTGGGATGAAATTCCCCAAGGTCTTTCGGGAATATAAGCATGATCATACTCTCTCTAAGGTCGCTCTCCTCTCGCATTTGTGGTAGTAAAGCGGACCAGCTAAATGCAACCAAGACGAACATCTACTTCTCCAAAAAACATAGTAACACAATTGAGAAATTCTATAAGTAACAGCTTTGGATTTGTCGAAACACATGATCTAGAAAAGTACCTTGACGTACCACTCATTCATAAACAATCTACGTACCAGCACGTTATCCAAAGTGCCCGAGACAGGTTGGCAGAATGGAAAACGATAACACTTTCACTATGGTGCTAGCAAAATCAGTACTATTTGCCATCCCATACTATGCCATGCAGACAAACCTTTTACCAAAAGGAATTTGTAAGGAGATCGAACAGATAATACAAAACTTCATATGGGGTCGGACACAAGGAAACGGGGGAATCAACTTGGTAGAATGGGAAGTTTTATGCAACTTCAAGGTAGGAGGCATGGTTTCAAACATCTAGAAAAGAAAATTAAAGCTTTCTTAATGGAGATCGCATTCAACCTAGTTAATAGAATAGACAAACTTTGGGTTTAAATATTACGTATGAAGTACAAAATAAAGGAACAACTACCGGAGAATGTACTACGCACCAATTGGTCACCTTTGGAGAAGCTTAAATATAATCTGAACTGAATTTCGTACTGGAATCATTTGGAACATAGGCAATGGAGAACATGTTAGGTTTTGGAATGAAGAATGGATCGATGACATTGGACTACACCACAATTATTGAAACAATCCGACTATGACAGATAATAGCCATACCAAAGTCGTTGATATGGTAGCTCAAAGAGGCGAATGAAGTTGGAATTTCCTTAAAAACTTACTCCCTGAAGAGGCTATTACAAGGAAGAGAGCAATCCTACCACCTCCGAAAGAACGGCCAAGCGATACACCAGGATGGAAAAGGACTCATCACAAACAAAGAACGAGTCAGACATCACATGACAGAAGACTCGTGTTGCTGGAATTGCGATGAAAAGTTTGAAGATACGAGCCATATTACGGAAATGCCCCCAAGCTTACGCAAGCAGGGAAAAGCTCATTCCTCGGAAATGCCCCAAGCTAGGACTCATCACAATCCCGAACGGACTTCAAGAACTACCCCAACCCCTAGTGATGGTGGAGGCGATAGTCCAGAATGAAAGCAAAGCCATAGTTTAGTTAATTAGGTTACTATCTCATTTTCCAAGAAAAAAATTTGGAGGGTTATTCGATGATTTCATTGATCATGATTGTTAGAATTCAAAAAAATTCTTTTCTAATTGTAGCGTTTATTTAATTCAATTGTTTTACGTGTTAAAATATCTTTCTTAATTTTTGTGTAATAAATAAAAAAGTAAATTATTAATAACTTACTTATTCTTTTTTATTTTTTGTTATTTAGTTCTATTTTTCTAAATCATATCCAATGTGTTTACATTTTAATAGTTATGTTAAGTTTGATCATTCACCTACAAAATAATGATGTGATATAATATAATAATTGTTTGTCCTAAAATTTACACGTTTTATCAAATTAATTATAATTTAAAATAATTTAACAAATATTCAATATTTGAAATGATATATAGCACTATTTTCATACATATTTAAATACCATATATAATATTATTTTTATAAATATATTAAAATTGGCCGGCTAAATTACCTTAATTCTGAGTTCAAAAGATTTTAAAGGAAATTTGATTCGACTTATCTAAAGTTCATTTTATATAACTATAATTACATTAGATTTAATCAAAATTTGTTAAATTTAAATATTTTTATATTCCTTAATTTATATTTACCAAATTAATATTATTCCTCAAATTAAATATTCTTTTATGGAAAGTATTAAAGATGGATGCATGTGTAACATGCAAAATGTCCATCAGAATCAATCATAAAGATTGATAAACCTAACTGTCGCGCCGTTATGGCCCTTTATTTATTTTTATTATGTCCTTGTAGTTTTACGCTCACCGCTCGAACGTCGATGAGAGCCAAAACCCTAAAAAACATGACTTAATTTAAGATTAAATCTTTCAAAATTAATTAAGATTAAAAATTATAAAAATAAGAAGCGAAAAAAATTATTATTAACAAATATAATATTTTCGATAACAATATAATTCTTTTAATTTGTGAAATTGAATGCATTATTAACATATAGCATATATGTGAGGTTTTAATCATATTTTAATCAATGGTGACAGAAGAAAATACCAATGGGTTTATATTTTACTGTAATATTTAAATAATTCAAATCTCTCCTCAGTTTTAATTTTGAATTAAGCATTAATTGGAGATTTGAGTAAATACAAATTTTCCGCTATATTAATTGTATAATTGATTCAAATTTAATCATAAAACATACTTTAAGAATTTATTATCTTAATCAACAATCTAATTGATACAATAAACAAATCCTAACATGATATTTAATTTTTGAAAGATAATTCAGAAACGTAAATCAGAATCAACCACCGTGAGAAACCCATCTACTAATGTAAATTACGTATCCAAATTCAATAAACATTGAAGATCAACGGACCGAAAAATAAAATCGAAAAATATATCAAAAGAACGTGTTATAATTATTGTTCACTTTAATACCTAAAGTTTATTTTTTTTTAAATCATACTTAACATTTAATTGATGTTTCATTTTTGTATATTGTCGTTAAAAACTTAATAATGATATTGACATGTCACAGTAAGATAATATTATGCCATCATTAAAAATAATGTTGTGTCAATAGTAATTAATTTTCTAACAAAAATGTATAATTTGAAAATTAAACTAAATGTTAAGTATGTTTTTAAAAATAAAATTTAGATATCAAAACAGAATAAAAAAGTAATAATTTAGGTATTAAATGGTAGCTTACCCTATTATTTAATTAGTTTAATGCTTGGTGTATTCCGTTACACTTTCCAGATTCCCGTTACGACGCCGTCAAGTTCCCCGTTACAGATTCCCCGTCGCTGTCAAATGGACCACCATCACCCACAACCCACCCCCTTCAGAACAGCAAAAGAAAATCCTCACCGTTCAAATGTACCCTCCCTGCTCTTTCTCTCATCATCACCATCATCATCATTATCATCAAAAGCCAACAAAAAGCAGAAAAACGAACGCTGCAATCCAACAAAAACGAATTCTCTCTCTCGCTCTCTAAAAGAACGAAAAAAGAGAGAAAAGAGATCAAAGAATTTTACATTCCTTTTTTTCAATTACGAGGAGAAAGTGTAGAACACTCGGTGGAATTGCAGTTATGGAGCTAGTTGACGTTGGAGTACAAACGAGAGCCATGTCCGCAACTGGAACGGTTCATAAGAAACGCAGAAGATTAAACAACGACGAACAAGCTGATTATAGTAAAGTAACTTCTTCAACGAACTCAATTACGTCGTATATCCAGTTGAGAAGTCGGAGAATTTTGGTAGATCACCATCGTCGTGAAGGAAATCCGTGTTTGAGCGTTAACACGGATGATGATGATGAAGTGTCATGCTCCTCATGCAATATCGGATCGAGCAATAAAAGGATCAATGTCGAGTTGCCAGATCTGGAGGTGAATTTCGAAACTTCCTTATTTATTTTAAACGTATAATAATTAAGCTATGTCGTTATGGATTATGGGAATTTCGTTTTGTCCCAGCTTTAATTGCTTCTACTAAATTCTAGATTTTTTTCCTGAATTTTTGCAGGACGAGAGTATTGAAGTTGAAGCATCCACGCATTTCAGCAGCAGCAGCGAGAGGTAGCGCTTACAACTATAATAATATGTATATTTTATTTTTTTTAATATTTAAGTTACTGTAACTTGATGTTTATGAATCTTGAATTCGAATTTAAAAAACAGCCAACCATTTAATTTTTTTTCCTTTTTCGGTTTTAAATTCTACTTTTCTTTGTATACTCCGCTCAAAATCTGTTACTGTTTTGTGAATTCTAGTATGAGAGAAACAACGGCGTTGAGTGATCTCCGAGCTGAACCAGAAGACCTGGATTCAACGTCGAGGTCATCGGAGACGAACTCTCGCCGTAGATCAACGGTAGAGAAAATGCCAACCGAAGCTGAACTCGAAGAATTCTTTGCTCCTGCCGAGAAAAAACTTCAAAAACAATTTGCGGAAAAGTACGTTCATGCACATTCGCCTTTAAAATGATATAGATTTTCTTTTCTGCTGTTACATTTTCTTAGCAACCATGCGGCAATTTTGAAACTAAATGGATTTTTTTTGTTTACTGTTATTAGGTATAACTACGATATTGTGAAAGATGAACCGTTGGGAGGGCGTTACGAGTGGATTCGACTAAACCCATATGAACAAGAAGTCAAGCAAACGATAATTTATTTAGGCCACGCGATTTATCTTAGGTACTGCCACTAATTTAAAATTTTAGTTTCTTGTTTGCATTTCTAGGGTTTTCTTCTATGTATAGAATGACGAAGAAGAAAACGAAGCTTCTTTCGAAGAGCCAAAAATGAGGGGAAATCTTCTAAAATCCGTGTCTGTTTCTTCAGCTAAATTCTGCTTGTTCCTCTCTTCCTTCTTTCCCTGGTACGGCGCCACTGCTTTCGTCAGTTATAGCTGTAATTCTTTAGTCTGTAGTTTTCTTCATTTTGCGTTAATTTAATAAAACACTAGCCGAAAAATCTCTTCTTTTTTATTTGCAAGTAATTTTTGTTTGGATATTATCATGAAACTGTTAATTAAGATGAGGGGGCACAAAAGATGAATGAAGATCAGGAAGAGTCAATGGTGCCTGATGTGGAGCAGAGAAGAGATAACTGTACACGCGCCATGCTAATTGCTAAGTATGTGAGGAACACTTGTTTTGTATTGAAATCTTGATAGTAGGGGCAAATCTTATCCCAGATCCCCAATGTACGACCACAATTCATTTCCCATTTTTTATTGGAGTTTATCGGTGGGTGGAAATTTTACCTTTCTTGGAACAATAATTGTAGGGGTATTACAGAAAATATAATTTTAAAAAAACTAAAAAGTAGTTTTAAATAAAGAATTTAGTTAATTACACGAAAGACCCCCCAAACTATGGTCTCTTATTTTAAATTTTCCCTAATCATTTTATATGAATCTTCAAACTATGTCTTCATTCTAATTGGTCCATCAACTATAAAACATTTTATATCGATCATCAAATTATCCATATCATTCAATTTTGATCCTTACGTTATTGTAGCGTTAATTCTACTAATTTTTAAAGTCTTGAGAATTAGATTCGATTCTGATATTTATTTGATTTCTTTTAATTGAGTAGTTCGAGTTTGTGTTCAAATTTAATTATTTATATATTATAATATTACATATTTAATTATTAATAATTTTATATATTAAATTAAACTAATAAAATTAAAAAAAATCCACCCAATAATTTAATAATTAATATAATATTTTTTAATAATATAAGTTTTTTTAAAAAATAATAATTAAAAAAATTAAAAATCGGGTACCCGATTGCCCGAATTATGAGTACCCGTAAAATCCGAATACCCAGATACCCGCAATATCCGAGTCAAGACACGAGCTGAAAAATCTAATATCCGAAGACCCGGGTACCTGGAACTTCTGGTAGGGTACCTGGAACTTCGGGTAGGTACCCGGAATTGAACACCCCGAAAAAGTAGTCTTGGTGTGCATTAACTATACATATTAAGGATGCATGAAGATCATTAAATACATGTATTACTATCAGTCTCACATTCAAAGGTTTCTATCTGGTTTGATGAAAGCTTAGAAAGTAACTTGGATCCTGAACTAGTGGGCACAAACTAAACTTTTAAAGTGTTATTGAATCCCAAATTAAGATTAGTATGACCCAAAAGCTAAAACACATCCTTAAGCAAATGGTAAACAGTGGTGCATTAGCTGTCACATTCATTGCCAATCCTCCACCGTCTCACCTCCCTATGTAAACACTTACCAGCATGTACCTATATCTTGTTTCTCATTTTTAGGGTAAACTGAGCAAATGGTCACTAATATTTAAGTAAGTTTTCCTTTTCACCAATAATGTTTCAAGAGTCACAAATCAGTCACTAACATTATCATTTGTTACAAATTAGTCACTCACCATTAACTGTCGTTAACTGGAGTGAGAGAATATACAACTGGACCGTTTAAACCTTACTTGGATTGAGTTGACCGCTACATGGAGTGTCAAATGCTGAAAATAATAGCATGGGTTGTTGCTTCATCTTCTTCCTCGCTTTACCATGGGTTCTTGCTTTACCATTGACTTCTAGCTACCGTGTGTTGTTTCATTCAATTATGTTTTTCATTGACGCCCTGTGCTTCATCAATTAGCTTCTGATTCGAAAAGAAATTTGCTTAGAATCCATTCTTCTTGTTGTTGTTAGAATAAGAGACAAAAGCTAAGCCGAGAGCAACATTTTTCTAACGAAAATCAATTTTGATTACACTCACTACAAGAAAATATACCTTTAATGACTCACGAACAATGACACACGCTAATTTATGACTTACAAAAACTGTGTCATAAAAAAAAGTCATGTTTCTTAAAATATGAACGATTTATGACTTACAATAATGTGTGCCATATTTAATAGTCATAATCCAAAAAATTTACAAAACACGGAGTACACTTTTTAAATGTGTGTCATCTTTAAAAGTAGTATTTTAATTTCCCCCCTATTATTTTCATCTTTTCCCGCTTCTTCCCCCTCGATAATTATCAGTTCACTCCGCATGCTTCCTTTTTTCTCTTTTTCCCTTTTTCCAAAATGCCATCTTCTCCAACAAGATCATTATGTTCTCTAAATCCTATTGCCCATATGCCATTTTTCTCCATTTCTTTTACATTTATAGTTTCGTTTCAACCTTTCAATGTTCATAATTTAGAATCAGGATAGCGTAATCAATCTTGTTTCTACTTTTTGACTTAATGGGTATTTCTTCAAAAATATAATTGAAACTTCAATTCTTGGGGGTTTTGTGATTAGATAATATGGTGGGCTGCTCCTAATTCTTTCGCTTTTGTCTTGTTCGTAGGTATTGCCTTCGTGCCAAGCGGGTTTTCAGTGAGCTAAATGAGAAACCTTATGTTGTAGAGCTTGATCTTCGAGGTATCTGTGGATATTATTCATCTGCTTCTGATTCGTTTATTGTGTGTGTGTGAGTAGAAAAAGAGTAATTTTAGATGAAGTGTTGACTTGTTGAGTTTTTGTTTTAGATGATGGAGGTAAAATCCAGTATGTTCTTCTGGATTTGATAGGTCGAAGCACTGTTCCACAAGTGTTTGTGAATGGCAAGCATATTGGAGGCTCTGATGGTTAGCTACTTTGTGTCCATAGTATTTGTTTTTCTAGATATTAGACATATATATATATATATATATTGATTTCATTTTTCTTATTTCTTTCTGACTATTCAGATCTCAAAGTTGCGGTCGATGATGGTACACTGCAAAGGCTTCTAGCTGCAAGTTGATGAATTGTTAGAAAGAAGGAAATACAATAATTCGATTTGATTCGTTAACTATAAAACTGCTCGAGGATTAGAGAATCATATCTGGGTTGTGAGTTTTGTTAGTTCACAACAAGATTTCGATGAGTGCTCTGTGATAATGGCATGCCCTTTGTGAGGTTATCTTATATTGCTTCATCGTTATGAAGGACTCTAGTTTAGATCTTAAGTACATTTTAAATGTAGATGAGGGAGGGGCAATAACCTCATTTATCTTTCACATTAATCTATACTTCACATTAATCTATACTTCTGTTGGTGGATCCTTTTTCTCTAACAAGCGGATTTTAGGAAGTCCATGTTCATAAGATGCGCTTCTTCTGAAATATGTCAACATGGGTTTCCTATATAATTTTCAAATAAAATGTCTTCAACTATGCTTCTGAATGATCTATTTTATGGTTCTTTCTTGGTGTTAGCATTTATGTGTATGACAAATCAGAAAAATGAAGATATTTGATTAATATTATTTGAACTGACTGCTGCTAGTGATATGGAAAAAATACAGGAGACGAAATCCAGTTGTCTGAAGATGGAGCATGCAAGTGATTGGATGGGTGCTCAGCTGACCGGATAGATTTTGGTTCAGGACAACATTCCTGCAATAGATGATTCTCCCTTTACAATATCATGCAAAAAAAAGTCCATAACTGATCTAGCTTTATTAATTCATTACTTGTGATAGTTAGGTTTAGGTTACAACTAAAGCAATGATGTTTTTTTTCGGTTTCAATTTGATTAGGAATGAACTTTTCGTTTACACAATTCATTCTCTCCATTTTTACGTTATTTATTTCTTATTGCAATGGGTGTTGTCTCCCAAGTACTTCAATTTCCCGTTTCCTATGACGTTGACAATGATTCACATGGCATTCTCCGGAATCGTTGCATTTTTCCTTGTCCGTGTTTTCAAGGTATGACTGACATGCAACTAACTTCAATTTCTTTTCCATATAGCATTGCTAACTATTGTAACTAATGTCTTCATACTAAACTGTTGAATGCTAAACCACATACTCCCGTCTCAACAATATATGCAAATGCAACTAGCTGTAGGAATGCCAATTAAGTTTGTCACAATAAAATGTGTTTTTTTGTTACATTGTCCCCATTTCTAGAACTTAGTGGTCTCTTTATGACCTGCAACTAGCTGTAGGAATGCTAATTAAGTTTGTATTCATTCTCTTTATGTCTTCGCAAGTGGTTTTATAGAGTGCTAAATGCTACATTTTTTTTGGTATATCAGCTGGTGTTTCCATAGATGATAAAAATTGGCTGCCAATTTTCCCAATTATACATCATGATATTGCTAATGAGATACTGGTTCATGCTCAGAGGCTGCAATATCTTGCATTCGCAAGTTGGCTTGGTGTGTAAGTTTATTTTTTGGCTTCTTATTGGATTTTTATGTACTACTCTTCATTCCTGACTTTTTAATGTAAATTGTTACGCAAAAGATAAACTTTATTGAATTTAAGTTTTTGCACTGAATTTTATTGTTATATTAGGTGCAGTTTGATAAAGTGAAAAATTAAGTGCTAAAAAGCTAAGCATTGAACTGTACTGCATCTGTGGTGTTTTCTTTTAAGTTAAATGCTTTAAATAAAGTATGTGAACGCTAAGTTGAGCTTTCTCCCATTAATTTAGTTCATTTGTTTTTATTGGAGCATGACTTTTAGTGCTTAGTTGACGTTAAGGATAGAAGAAAGAAAGAAGGATAACAACTATATGGGCAGAAGTGAAAAATATTGAAGGAGTATTACACTTTCATGTAAAATCTACTGAATTATAATTCAAAGATTGAATAGTTTCTTGCACAATTGTGTTGCTGTTAGAATTAAAATATATATCCCATATATTATCTTTAGCTTTAATTTACTAAGAATAATCATATGTTTTATAATGTGTTATCTGATTATCTCTGTTATTATTAGATCCTGATATTTGGTATTTATAATTTTCAGTTTTATATAGCATTATAGTAAGAAATCCAAGAAGTTGGACGAGGGGAAAACAATTCATGCTATACATACTAGTTTTTGGTCAATACTTAGTTGAGAGAACATGAACTGAGCATTACTTGTTTACAAATGTATTTGTATACCAGTTTATACATGAAAGTAGTGACGAAGAGTTCTGATTTTTCAATTATTAATTGAATCTGTCATTTATTTTATTCTCTAGTCCTTAAAGTTTTCCTGATTTAGCAAGCATTTAAAAAGAGGTTTTTTCCCATTTGTTTGCTTAGTTTTCTTGCGATGTTAGTCATGTTGTTGATGAGCCGAATTTTTTTTGAAATGTCCTCATTTTAAGTTCTAGATAAAGATTAAGTGACTTTTTTTTGGGCTGCTGGTATGTCAAGGACTCAAAAATTATAGAACATATTGACCGAGATGTGAAACGCACTAATCCAGACATGAACTTCTTTTCCGGAAACTCGCAGCTTGCAAAGTCTAACTGGGTATGCATTTTCTTTCTTGTGATTTTGTTGCTTAACCCTTTGGACTCAAGTTTTGATATGAGAAACAAAGCCATTTCTGACTTATACCTTGCTCATTCAGGATGAATTGAAGGACATATTAATTTTATTTGCCAAGTTAAATCCAAGTATAAGATATGTTCAAGGGATGAATGAAATCTTGGTACCTCTATTTTATGTATTCAGAAATGATCCCGATGAAGAAATCTTGGAGTGCAAAAGGTTGGGTCTTGTGGTAACATCTTTATGATACAAAACCATCATATTTCAAATGTGGTTCCCTATTCTTTGTTTGTTACTTAAGATATGTTTAGCTTATGTTTTTTTTAATGTTAGATAAGTTTAGTTTTTTATTAATATGTTAGGAATATACCTTGTAGTTTGCATTTTCTATTGCCTGGTTTATTCTTTAGATCATTAATTAAATGTCAACATGCTGCATATTGAAATACACACAGGTTGTAGAATCTGATGTTTTCGATTTCCATATTGTTGTAGGCTAGAGACTCAAGATTTAAGTGTCAAATGTGCTGCATATTGAAATACATACGGGTTACAAAATCAAAACAACAAACTCTGTTAGTATGTTTTTTATTAGATGTTGTAGCTGCTAGAAAATTATAGACTTTTCATATTCCTTTTTTCACTCGGTAGGAAATTTATTAAGGATGTTTGATGCCTTTTTTTTATCAGGAATCTTGAAGCAAACCAATTTTCGGGCCCTGTACCACCTGAACTTGGGGATTTAGTGAACTTGGAATCTTTATAAGGAAAAACTCAATACCTTCTTCTTCTTCTTCTTTGTTTAATATTTTACGATTCTCTTAATTTCTTGTTAAATTAACCTTGATCAAATGATTTGTTTTCATGCTCATTGTAATTTCAGGATGCTCTCCTCCAATCAGTTAACTCGGAATTTACTAGTGACGTTTAGTTTACTAAGAAATCTAGCTAACTTGTAAGTTTCTTCAAATTTTCCTCTATTTTAAACCACGTATCTAGACACGTTCATAGGATCAACACTAATGTGTTTGCAAATATTGAATTTATCTATTGTGCAAGAGGATTAGTGATATAAATAGGCCAAGTCAGGATTTTCCTGTGCTCAGAAACATGAAACGCCTACTGACATTGTATGTTTTGTGCTTAAATTATAAAATATTTTGAAGGTTCCATCTATATATGCTTCATTTTGACAGAACATAATCTAGTTATATTTGTATAGGGTTTTGAGGAATCTTATGTGACAAACTTTATTATGTCGTGATATTTTGTATCGACATATGATTACAATATTTTTGATAACTTAATATGAATATATTGTATGCAAATAGATTGCTTATATATAATATGATATATATATTTAGTATTATGAGGCATTAAATGAGATTTAGTTTGATTATTTGTCAATCTACAATATATATATATATAATTTACGACATACAATCACGCCACACGAATGTGTGTCATCTTTTATAATGGCGTGTGCTTCAATGATACGCAATGTAAGTCATAAATGCATGTTATAAATTTATGACACACAAATGTGTCGTCTTCATTTATGACGGGGGCTTCAATGATGCGCAATGAGTGTAAAAATTATGCGTCATAAATGCGCGTCATAAATTTATGACGCACAATTGCGTGTCATCTGAGATTCATGTCGGTGGCTTCAACGACAGGCATTAATGTGTCATCTACACCCATAAATGACGCGCAATGCGCGTAATTAAAGGAGTTTTTTCTTGTAGTGACTTTTTTATCCAACGATGAGCTCGCCGTTCCGATTCTTTGAAAAAAGAATCCCTTTTTGGTTTTTTGTTTTCTACTATTTTGAGTTCGGGATATGGTTGTTAATGATGAAAATTGCGGCATTTTTACAGGCGGATGACGTGGCGAGCCTTGAGTGGCTATCTCATATCGTTGATGATTCCTTCTCGAAACACTTTGCGGCGGCGTATCGGACCGGAATGTTATCGGAAAAGCCCAAGTTACCAGGCAGCAATTTGCCTAAACTGGAAACACCGGTTACAACTTGTTTTAAAACTATAGTTCCGTCCAAAGCAAGAAGCAAGCGCGGTCGAAGTGGTGGCCGTGTTTGGTCTCTTGTCACTTCCCCTCGTGCGGAATCCCCTTCAAGTTCCACTTCGTCATCTTCCTCTAGCCCTTGGTTCGTTTACTCAAGCAGCATCCCCAGTTCAACCTATGAACCTCTTCTTCTATAAGATTTATTGTTAACGGACTAGCCCTTCTAGTTCTTCTAATTTCTATTTGCTTGTGTTAACTACCCAAGAAAGAGGGAGAAGATGAAGCAACAACCCATGTTATTGCTTTCAACATTTGTGGCGGTCAACTCGGTTTAAGTAAGTTTTAAACGGTACAACTATGTATCACTCTTGCTAACGACACTTAACGGTAATTGATCAATTTATAACAAACGATATGTTAGTGATTGATTTATAACTTTTGAAACATCAATGGTGAAAAAACAATTTACTCAAATATTAGTGACGTTTACGTAGTTTACCCTTTTTTTTATAAGCATCAATGAATCCAAATACAAACAATTTAAACAACGACCAGATAGTCTAACATCCATTGCTCCACATTAGAAACAAGTTCTTCAACTGCAAACATTTTGTACAAACAAACAGCCAGATACCCATCTCCTTGGAGATAAAATGCACTACAAAAACCTACTTCTGAGACCTCAAATGAAGGAGGGGGAAAAAAAGAGAGTTTAAAACACGGCCCCCCCCCCCATTAAGCCATCCTCAATCTTCCATTTTTCTTTCTGAAAAATGCCCCACATTTCTACAAGTTCTACCTTCCAATACTGTGAATATACCCCAAACTCCCCCATCCCTAGAACGTGACTCTTCTTCGCCCAAATGGTCCTGCAACAAGTAACGTTAATGAAATTAGATCAAACCAACCCTAAAATTGTTAGCTTTGTAAAGGAGAAAAATGGGTTCTTTGCTATCACCTATGGATTAGTCTTGGTAACATGGGTGTCCTGGTGAAAAAAACCTGATCTTTTACTTCTAGAAATCCCTTCACTCTTCTCAGCTTTTCTGGAAGTAGCAATGTGATTCCCCTTGAGACTCAGAAACCCCTTCCACCTAGTGGAAGTGGAACCCTTTGGAGGCCTTAGTGTCACATTATCTTCATCGTCCCCAACAAGAAGCTCTTCTCTCAAAGTCCCTTGCATTTGGTTCCCACCGTTATCCTTAAACGGAAAAAGCTTTCCCTTAAAGAAAAGCTCATCGGCACTTATCATGGAGTAGTTCGACACCGAGAATTCGAAGTCCGACCACACCGGAGCCTCCCTGGAGCTCATCTTTTGTTGCATAATCTGCCGAGTGTCCACAAAGTCGTTCGAGAAAGAGATTCTTGGGCTCATTGGGGCACAGTGGTGATGACGACGACGACTTCTTAACTCCGAGTTACTATTTAATCAGAAATTACATTACTTTTTCAATAAGTATGTTGTACTCAGGCATCGCTAACTTATTATTTTTTTTATAAACACCAACTTATTATTTGGATCATAGTATTCGATTCAATTTTTATTAAATCTTAATCAATTTCAATGTGTATGATCTTTAAGACATCAACATAATAATAATAATATCAATTAAATTAAAACTTGAAAACTATTCAATCTAATTTTTAAAATATCATAATATTATACATTAACAACACCTATTCTCAAAACCAAACTCAACTGTTACACTCCTAGTCACCTGCATTACACTTTTAGGGTTTTCACTTTCCATACTCAAAAGGAAAAAAACAAAAGACAGAGAACCAAAATGTAAAGCCTATACAAAACAGTATCTCACAAACACAAAATATACAAAGTTTTAAACAAATTGAACTCCAAAAAGGAAAAAATAAACAAAAAGCACTTCCAAGTACTTAAACACTAGATAAACATCAAATTAATTCCCCATCATTACTGATATTAATCCCTGGATTTTACTCTCTTCTTCATCTTCATTTCCATTAATACCAGTGAGCTCTCCAGCTCTTGTTGCTTGGACCAGCCAATCCGTTCGAGCCACAACTACGACCATGTAAATGGCACACACAAATTGGGCTGCAAGTAGACCGAACCAAAGTCCCAATAAACCAATATCTACAAAAAAGCCCATTAAAAGTGCAACCGGCAATCCAACACCATAGAAAGATCCCAAGTTTATGTTGCCACCCAAAGCTGGTCTCGCGCTCCCTCGCAACACCCCACACCCGGTTGTTTGCGGGTAGTTCCCTAGCTCACACAGCCCCGCGACCGGCATCACCATTGCGGTAAACAAGGATGTAACCAATATCTGTCAAGGCGACAACAACAGCTATGCCTCGAATCCCAAAGCTAAGATGGTAGACAAGGATGTAGTTGATGGGAGCATGTAAAGCGAGTGAAAAAGCAGCAGTGAGCATAAGAGGAAGAGTTACGTTTTGGGTCCTTAGATAAATCCTAAGAGGGTTTATAATGCATTGGAATAGCAGATCTGGGAGAGAGAGTGCCAGATAAGTAGATGCAACAGAAGAGATATCTGGGTCTTGACCAAAAAACAGAAGGATGGGTTCGATGTTTAGCCACAGTACTGAAATGGGCAAACAGGCTAATATGAGAATAGCAATGGTACGTTGTAAGGTTTGGCCCATAAGAGGCCATTGTTTGGCTCCACAGGCTTGAGAGGAAATGGCTTCCATCCCCAGTGCAAGGCCAGAAATAACAGAGTAGCAACTGATGTTTGCGATGCCAATCGACATAAAACCTCCTGCCAATGCTTCTTTGCCCAATTTCCCCATGAAAAACATGGATATGGCTAATTTTCCATAGAGAAGAAGACCGGTAATGATCATAGGCAGAGCTATGGCATAAAGTTGCTTGATCTCTTCAATCACCTGAGAGAAAAAACAAAAAAAAACAAAGACAAATAGATATACTTTCTTTATGGGGCATTGGGTTTATCTCCTTTCTTCAAAACCAAGTACAAAGAAGAAGAAAAACAAGCAATAATGGCGTCACTGTCGAACTAATTACTTACCTTTGAAAGCGATGGTGGAAAAGCTTGACCTTGGCATTGCAAGGAATCTTGTTCCTCAGTTGAAACATCATCATCCTTAACATCATTGATATCCTCATTGACCAACAAAGGAGCAGTAGTAAAACTGTAAAAATCCTGAACTCCCTGATCACTCATTGTTCTTAAAATCTAAACAAAACATGCAAACACAAGAGAGGAAGCTTCTCTCTTTTGCAGCAGTGTAAAGGTAGAGATTAGTACCGCTGGACTGGATTCTCTTTTTGTTTTGTTGTTTTATGAGGAAGAGAGAGAGAGAGAGAGAGAGAGGTTAAGGGGGGCTGAGAAATGGACGAGTGTGGGGCGGAGGCGAGGCCATCATGCGGGTGGTTCGTCGTTTTGTTTGGCGTCGGTAGGTACACTATAATGGCTCCATTCTAGAAACAAAACAAGGTGCTGAGTTGAGCTGAAGCCTAAGCTTTTGCTTGGAGAACAAAATGGTGGACTGGCAGTGGCAGTGAATCAGTCTTTTCTCCGAATGCCAAGCATGGAAACCTATCGAACAAACACAACATATATTATTTGAAAAGAAAAATGCTCTGTAAATTACTACTCATCCCCTTCATAAAAACTTCCACTCTTTTGTCTCTCGCATGGGTGTCCGTAAAATGTAGACGAGACAAATTGGGTCAAAATACTATTCAACTCGATTTAAATTAAAAATATCTATTGAGTTGATAATATATAATAAAATTCATACATTATACAAAATAATGGAGTATTTTGATTATATTAAAATTATATAAGAATTTATATTTAATGTACCGCCAACGAGTCTCAAATAATTTTAATAAAAATCAATCTTTTGATTTTTCCGTCACTACAAACGTATTTAAGCAATTGTCGTTTTATTAAGTCACAGAGAAAATGCATTTTTTTGTTTTTCTTCTAAAAGAATATGGTATTGAGATTGTTTACGGAGAGTGCAGTTGGTTTTTAAGATCGCTTCGGTTCAATCTTTTACTAGCTAGCCTCGATGAAGTTCTCAGACGACGTAATCTTTTGAATCGGTGTCCTCGGTAACATTACATAATTTGAATTTTATTAAAGTTTTATAAATTAAAAGTAAAATGCAACTAAAATAAACAGATGGATAAAATTATACATATCGCGTAATCTATATAAATGTACTACAAATACAATAAATATAAAAGATTTGCCAGTCGTATAGCAATTACAAGGGTAAAAGAGAAAGAATTGATACCAATGCATACCTATTTTCATTTATGCCCATATATATTTTCTGATTGTATTTACCAAGTTCGTGAAAATTATGACTCCTAATGTATCATATTAATAATTAAAATGATGTCATCCACACATTTTGTTCAGTTTAAGGCACATTGCATCGGTTGAAAGCCTTCATTATTTCTCCCCACCATAATCCCTGCTTGTCCCCAAATGACCATAGTATCAGCCATTTCACTTTTACAATTTTTTGTGCGTCAAATGTCATTCCAATGTGATAAAACTAGAAAGATGATACATTTGAGGTACACTATGATCCTAATTGTAGTGATATAACAGGGAAATATACTTTTAGTCCTCCCTCAACTGTCTCAACAACATCAGTCCATTCAATGGGTCAAATCGGATCACGACTGATCCTTTTTTATATAAAATGTATTCGCTTTTTTCTCCAAAAATCATATTTTTCATTTAATATTTCCGATCAGGCACCGTTCATATTATTTTTTTGATCTAACACCCTTTACAGAAAGGTGTGCCTCTGCAGCGCGCTTAACGTTGATTTGGCGTCACGTAGGGTAAGACGCGCCCCGTGAGGCACGCCCCCTGTTAACTTCCTAAAAATGCTACTTTTAAAGCATTTTTCACTTAAGTTATTGTTTGTTTAAAAGCTCATTTTAGTCATTTTAGGATCATATAGTTGCATATAGTTGCATTTGTGGTGGTTGTGCTATTTTATTTCTTAATGGTGCTGTTTGAGGGAAAGGTGCAGTTTGTCTATGGTGTGCAGGGAATAGTAAGAAAAAGGATTCTTTGGGAAGTAATGCCGCGGCATCACACGTTGCTAAAGCAGATTGAAATGCCTTGGCATTTCTGGCGCAGAGAAAGACAAAAAAATATTTCTGCATAAGGACAGTTAGCACTGGACAGCTGTCTCTGCACGT